AAAAGAGAGAGATGTTGAACAACACGACCTTACCCTCCAGGATGGGTTTTTTGCTTCGAGGATCTGCTTGTTCGATCCACGAGGTGCTTTGGCGCTGTGCCGCCAGGGTACTGCAAGATGAAGCTCGGTGCTCTCGTTTGCTGCTATCGCTCTCACCGCTGGAAAGTACAAAGCGAGGTTGGTTTTTTTTTTTTTTTTTTTTTTTTTTTTTTTTTTTTTTTTTTTTTTTTTTTTTTTTTTTTTGTGCGTGTGGCAACTCGGGACACGCGGAGTATCGCTGTCAGCAGGTGCGAGTACCTTTCTGAGGGGGGGGTGTCAGATTATACCTGAATCTGAATTTTATCCCCCAAGTTGTTAGCCCTGGGGAGTAATGGACGATGAGATAATGATGGTGATAATGGATTGAAAGGACGGCATACACACTACAGACATCCACAAATACACTCTTGTCGAGGGTGGATTGAATCCCGGCGGTCTTTCTAAGTCGGACGGTAACGCACTACTGACCTAACGATCTCGGCCATCTTACCGGCAATCGCCAAATACGGATACATAAATCATAATTCCTCACGAAATATTCATTGCTGTAGTATGTCTTAAACTCAACGGGGGGACTGATCTACACGATGATGAGATGGGCAGCAGGCACCCAGGGATGGATTCTACTTAAACAAGCTTTTTAAATATTTCTCAGTGGCATTCATTTTCAAGAATGTGCGGCTTGCCTGGTCTGCTGTTGTAGTGTCGGGGTTGAAAGAACACTGATCACAGCATGCAAAAGCTTCTCGTTTATTAGACATTGCACATATTATGATATGAGTTGGGATGAACTGTTTAACCTAGTCTGCTGTAGTACTCGGCTAGCAAGTATTAAGAGAAGGGGCGACTTCTGTCTACTACAGGCATACATATTCTTTTTTCTTTGTCATTTTTCTTTTTTTCATTGTTATTCTTGCGCTATAAATTAAATGGAACATAATTCATATTACTAAGATTTACCATTTTATTAATCAGATTTACATCTTAAACACTTCAAACTTGCGTGAAGGGAAAATCTAAACGACGAGGAAGGCTGAAGAAAGGGATGCACATTACTTAAAGAATGTTTGTGAAGATTAAACAGCTTCGTAATGACGCCATCTTATAATCAAGTAGTTTGGTGCTTACTAAGGTTGAACTAATTGCGGGCAAATCTTTTTGTCTGTTTTTGACAGGTCAGTCACATACAGCGATCACGCTTCTCGGTCAACTTTTCCTGCTTGAAACTCGTTACGGGATTCATGCAGTCAACAATTTCTGGTCGGGTATCCAGTTGAAGTACAACAAAGTGGCAAAAGTTCGGGTAACACTAATATCATTAAATTTCTGGTTTTGCTGTTCGGAAGATTTTGGGACATTATTTCCAAGTTCTCTCACAATCAAACTTAGCAAATTGAATAATGTGCTGACATAACTAGTCAAATTCAGCTTTAAACATTTGGAAAAGGGATTTGCTTTATAGAATGTACGCTATCTTTTCTTTCTCAATTTCGTTCTTTCGGGATCTTGGGTTGACTACAAAACGAATTTACAACGAGTATCATTATCATCTGTCAGATTTATATATAGTAACATGTATAGTTTTAGCCATTTCTTGTTAGAACGATAGGATGACGGTATTAATTCGTCTCTGTCAAAAGCTTCTTTCATAACCCCAGGACAGGTGTAGCATCCACTCGAACGAATGCGTTTTCGCAATCAAACCGTGGGGGCGGGGCGGGGCGGGGGCGGGGCGGGGCGGGGGGGGCGGGGCGGGGCGGGCGGGGGGGCGGGGCGGGGGGGGGGTGGGGCGGGTGGGGTGGGGGGCGGTTGAGCGGCCGGGGTGGCGTGGGGGCGAGCGGGGTAGGAGTGGGGCGGGGGGCCGGGGTGGGGTGGGGGGCGGAGCGGCGGGGTGCGGCGGTGGGGGCGGGGCGGGGCGGGGCGCGGCAGAGCGGGGTGCGGCAGAGCGGGGCGGGGCAGAGCGGGATGGTGAGGGCCGTGACGTCACCTGATGACGATGCACTGGTCCTGGCCGTAGCGGCGCATATGCGTGTAGCTGTTGTCGCCGATAGCGAAGATGTGCGGCGGCAGCTCCCCGATCTTCCGGTCCTTGTAGAGCTTGATCTGCTCCGCGGTGTAGATCGGCAGGATCTGGTACGGGTTCACGGCCACGAGGATCGACCCTGTGTATGTCTGTGGAAATGCAGAGATCGTTCAGTGCAGGGGAAGGTGCGGCTAGACTTCAAGGAGACCATTCCAACACGAGTTCGTTATAACACATTTAAAACATTAACAGTAATTCCTTTATGTATTAAAACTTAAAATGTACAATTATTCACAGAAGAAGTTGGTTGAATTGATATTTAAATGAAACGGTTGTTCTAACATGTACTGTGAAAAGAAAAATTGATTACATAATTAAATTTAATCTAAAAGTTTGTTTTTTGGGAAACGCATCATAAATTAATCCCAACTTTTAAATAATTTTCATTAGGATTGTTAGGGAGAAAGGCGGCAAAATATGATTTTATAGGATAGGGCAAGGTTGGTTGCACGAGTTCTTAATTATTTTGCTCTTTTTCAGTTGGATTATATTTCGAAAGCTTCACTCTCGACTTTGGCCAACCACTTCATTCCACTTTGTAATTAACCGTCAATGTCCAAAAATTTGGAAAATGTTACGGCTCAAATTTAGTCTCTCGTGTATCTAGCTTCTCATAAGTGCAATTATTCAACTCATAATTTTTGAAAGAAAAATGCTGCATTGAAGCTTGTGGATATTGCTTGTAAAAAATCATTCCCGAATGAATTGTTGTGTTTCAAAAATTATTTTACTGTATGTTTTAACATAAATTTAACATATAATTTATTCTAAGAGTAAAATCAGTTCTTCTTTATCTTTATAATACACCTTGCGTGCAAAAATAAAATTTCTCCATGCTCCAAATTGGTACCTCCAAATTCAGCTTTTAAAACATGAAAATTTGTAATACAAGTGAAAACTTTCTTTACAAGTTTGATTCATCATAATCTTACACTAACATCTAACTAAATTATATAATTTTCCACTTCAAATAAAACGCCAATTTAATTTCTCTTCAAGATAATTTCAATTAACCAAGTGAAACTTTTCGAATTGGTAGATTTTTTTTGACAAACAAATCAAAGTAGATTTCTGGTTTACAATAAAAAAATTGAAGAGAAAACTATTATCCACAGACAAAAATACTTTACGTCCCATGTGCTTTGGATCATACAACCGTGTGATAAAAAGACAACAACAACAAAAAAATAGATAGCGGTTACTGGCCGATAAGTGTTTCCTGACGTGAAAATCGATTCGCGGCAAAATCGATTCCGTTACACACCCTAATGCACAGCGAACCGGCCTCCGAGAGATAAAGCATCGCAGGTTTTGGACGCACGTCAAGACGGACTGCTCCGAAGGCGGGGCTTTCTCACGAGGAATGCGTGGCGGCTCACCGGTTCCTCGACAAAAGACGGTCGCGCAGCGCGGGCCAACCCGGCTGGTCAGCACGCTCGTGCAGCGGCGGTCCCTATGTCGCTGCTAGCAGTGCGAGGGTTCTTTCATTAGGTATCAAATTATTTTAGAAATATAATCTGAAAATTTGGAAAAATGAAAAGGAATTCTGTAAAACTAACGGTCTTCACATTTGCAGTTTACTTCAAATACTTAATTTACGTAAAAGGTAGGCGTAATCAGTGAAACACAGGGAGAGTTCATACAATACATTCGAAGGAAGCAAAATAATTGCCCAAATAATATTACATTTTCTCCCAATGCTGTACACAAACTTTTAATCTAAATTTGGCCACCCATTTGTTTGTTGCAGGCAAGTTCTCTATGAATAAGAAAAATAGTCATCTTTAAAATTATCACAGAGCGTTTAAGGCAACTGTAGTTCGTGCCCTTATAAAATCAATGGGGCATGTGAAATAAATTGATATTGTTTTGTTTCTTCAGAATCATCATTGTAATGCACCCGAGACAATACAGACAGACATATTAAGGAACGGAAAATAATGTAATTCCTCGGCTACGAGAAAATGCAACTAACGTGGAGTCTCACAAACAGGAAAGAAGTAGGACGGCGATTAGAGGAGAAAAACTTGTTTCTAAGTTTGAGGAAAATGATATATGTGTTCTTTTGTCGAAGAGAGAAAAAGTTAATGCATCGTGACCCGAAACAAAATATTTTAATGTTAAATATCATCACTACAACATCAACATACGGCTTTCTAGTAAGCATTTAATTTCATCTTCTGTGACCATAAATAGTAAATGTGTGCGGCGGAATGAAAAAATATGTAAAAATACTTTTATCAGACATATTAAGACTATATTTGAGGGTTTGAATAAATTTTAAAAAGCAGGGAATAAGGGAAGAAGTTGTCATTGCTTTATTATTAGTTAATTACTTCTTTTGATTTTGACGAACTACGTGACACTTACATGATAAAGTCTAAATGACTTCATTTCACTTCCTTCTTTACATTTCTTTTTTGCCTTCTCTCGGTTTACTATTACAAAAATGGTGTTCGCTAAGTTTTTGCAAAGTTAACAAGTTATTCACGCGCAAGTTTTTCCTTAAGATTCATTAAAATATTTTCTATATTTTATGTAGTGCTCATTAATTGAAATGTAGAATATACACATATGGACACATGTTTTGGAAAATATGAGTAAAATACAGAACACATAATTATAAATTCATGTCGATAAAGGAGGATTGCTTCCTTGGCGGGGAACAGGGCCACGCGATATTTGCACATTACTAGGTGTAGTACATGGTCCTCTATATATTTTAGACAATTTCGCAAGAAAACGGGAAATATTCATAACTTACTTTCTTTATTGCACATGTTTTGAAATACGTATCAGATGATGATGGTGCTCACCTCTATGTTTATAACTATTTTTCTTCTAGTTGTAAAACAACTCTCCTTATAACACATGTATAATATATACACCATACCAGGTATGAGAAAAAAAGTTGCTATTTTTGACATAGTACTCATTTTATTACGAAATCGACTGTCTAAAATACATAGAGGACGATTTACTAGACATATTCAATTATAAGACGGCAATAACATGCTATTACTTTAGCGGTGGGGTCACCAATGGGCGGGGCGGNNGGGCGGGGCGTGGAAGGGCCGTGTCCTGGAGGGAGCGCGGGGCGCCGCGCGCGCGCGTACTCACGTAGATGAGGTTCTCGTTGTATCGGATGAGCAGGTTGCGCAGGATGCCCGCCTCGTGCAGGTCGCCCAGCGAGATCATGTCCTCCACGCCCTGCACCGACGTCGCGTGCATCGCCTTGATGCGGCGCTCCGGGGTGAGCCATTGCTCCTGCGGGCACACAGCCACCGTCCTCATTGCTCACCCACCCACACACACACAACGGAATGGAAGCGCTACAGGAATCCTGGGTTCAATCGAGCGTTCTGGAAACCACTCCTAAGAAATCTTGAATGTTGGCGTCCGCAATTTCACATAACGTCACTAATTGCAATTGTTTCTTATCACCACTCTAAAATATTTCCCTACCTAGCATTTCACGCCTGGATACCTAGAATTAATAGCATGTTGTTGATGATTTTTGCACCACAAAACGTATCTTAGTATTCGAAAGGTTCACTTGAACTGCTAAGTTAACCGATTTCCATTCGCGTTTCACAAAATATCACCTACGTACGCACTTTGGGGGGCATAGATACAATTAAGCGTATATCAAAAGACCAATCCAACACACACACACACACACACACAGATGTATCATATATGTAAGGCGATTAACGGTTTCTAGACTTGCTAATTTGTCTTTTTATGAAAGAAACGAAAATGAGTCATTAGAAGGAGAGAAAACTTAGTGCGTGGTTGAACACTGCCATTGGCATGATAATCCAACAAATGATTCACGTACAACAGCTCGTCAGTCACTGAGCTCTGCTCGCTATCGACGACGGCCCATGGGATCAGGTACAGAAGCCACGGTTCGCTCGCTTCCTTGAATTGCAGTCACCTTTTTTCCCAGACCAAAGTTTACTTGCGCGTAATTGCGCTGTCCTTGACAGAAACGTGTGTGAAACTTGCACAAGAATGCTAAAAAAAGCGTCGTTCATACTTCTTTTGAAAGGAAATAAAATATTTATTAATGTATTTTATTTAAGTAGGATTGTGAAATGTAGAGCAATGAAAAGAAGATTAATTAAAATTCTAACAAATATGTGAAATAAAGACCAGACATATTTTTTTCAGAAGAATGCACTTTAAAATTTTAATAAGGTCTCGATTAAGCCTGTGTATTATTTGCTCTAAAGTAGAAACTCAAGTATGAAATACATAGAAGTACATGGCTATTCATGGAAATGATTAATGCAGGAAAGCAAAACGCTAAGTATCATGTTTCCCATAATGAACAGAAATATAACTGCAATTACACGTAGCTACGACGAAGTTCAAAACCAATATTGAAACAGAAAAGGGAATGAACAACAGCGAATGAATTACATTGGCATAAACTCCATCCAAAGCACTGTATAATCAGTGCATTTGAACGGTAAACATCAAATAACGTAGCAGTTTTCGTTTTGTTCAATGCACTCCCGTATGCAACCAAATTAATTGATCTTACATCCATCTGAAATACATACCGTAGCAAAGAACAATGGAGATAAGGATATCCCGAGATTATAAATTCGGCAATCATAACATGAATATTGTACTCCACAAAGGTCTTCTCAAAAGTGCTTGAAGGGATGTTCCGTTAAGAATAGTCGAGTTAACAATGCTGTTGAATCCACATTTATTTTTCTATTTGTTTCGGCAAGCTTGTCTTCAGCAATACCATTCATTCGTGCGATATGAAAGATCAAGGTTAGCAGCGTTTGCAGTTTTGCATACAACTTTCAAACTTAATCATGAGAATATCTTCGTATAGAAAGTAATATAGTGAATTTATTAAGGAAAGTTAATTTCTGCATGGAAACAAATGTTGAGAATTTGAGAAGTTGAGAAGTGAGAAATGATGAAGCAGAACCTAAATGCAAATGAGCTTCAAAAATATTTGTGAAGTCTATTTAATCGCTCGTCTATATTAATATATTATATTTAAAAAAAACAATGAAATTGTGGCTGGATCCGTGTAAATATTTTGCCTTCTGTAAATTATTGTTTTTAAAAAGAAAACTGCATTGTATTGAAACCTACGTTTTCAACGACCATTCCCTGAACTGTGCGTGAGGCGCGTTTCGGCCCCCGTATAGGCCTGGTATTATGCGTGGGAAATACACTCTAATGGAGTAAAGAATTTCTAACGACTTAAAATGATAATATTAAATTGCACAGAATATCAAATAATGAAATTAATTTTACTTATTTTTAGAGATTCTACACGTTTCTTACTATTTGTGCTAAGGAATTGAGTACCCAGAAAAATAATCCTCCAAAAATGTAATAAGTCAAACGCGGTTTCATTTAGTATATTATGGCCTGAGAAACAACTCTAAATTTCTGCGGGGCAAAAGCCTTGTTTTAAAGGTCTGGAATGCACAGTATTCCAATGATACGCAATGTTTTGGGTTGCATATGCGCCTCATGAATACTTCACCTTCAATACATTTTTCGTCTTAAATATGTCTGATAGGCCCTGCACCTCTGGAGGGTAATTTCTTATCAGCAGTAGTTCATTAACGAATTACGTTTTTAATGGCGACTTATAATCCCCTTGCGGTATTATAAGTAGAAGGTACAATAAATTGGAGTTCATTTCCTTTTTTCATTTTGGTCATGCCATAAACATTTAAAAAAATAAAAGTTTAGTTTTTGAGAAAATCTTTAGTAGATATTCTGGGAAAATTGTCATGATTTAATACAAAATTACGTGAAAATTACTAATATTTAAAAAAGTTAACATAAAATTATTTTAAGATCTCATGCTGAGAAGTTATTTGCATTAAGAAAGAATCCTCCAGCTATAGTATGTTCGAAACAAATGAAAAATTTAAAAATTAAAGTTTTGAAATTTTAAAAATTTCAGAGATTTTAATGAAGATCAGACGTTCATCACATTTATAAGCAAAACTTACTCATTTAGAATTAAACCAATCACAGAAAAATGTTTCCGTGTTTGAGAAAATTTTGAAATTGTAGTATGATCTTCATATAATGACGTATCTCTCACAATTAACATCCGTTTAAAATTTGCAGGGTCTTTGATTGCGCCTGATCGTTTGGAGAATATTAATTTTGGGAAAGAAATCACATGAGCAGTTTAGGCCTGACAGACAAAAGACATGCGGAAGGACATATGGCCAAACAAAACCAAAGACATTTAGATGGAGTTTGAGTTTGTGAAAAAACATTAATTTATATATTAAGATAAATTTCTTTTTTGCCTAGAAAGCATTTTTTTTAAAACTAACTTTGGAGTGCTTATTGCGGTTAAGCCATTCGGAATATCTCAGTAGTTTATTCGACAAAATACATTAATTGGGGAATTGTCTTAAGAGCTTATTTTCGAAGTTTCGATATTACCTTCCCGAATTGTATTGGGAACATTCACAGACGCTTGTGGTAAGAAAATTATCCGTAAGTAAAGTGACCCTTTCGTCGTCAACGAAAACACACGCAATCGAGTTCAAATGTGGGAAATGTTCGCATGGGTTCAGCTAGCATTGCAATTTTGCATTGTTATTACAAATAATTTGAAAAATAATGTGATGTTGTAGAAGCAACAATTCTGTTCAGAAGTTGTTTCTTGAGGCTATTTAAGCAAGCTTGGATGACATGGAGTTTTGCAACTGCTAATATCATGAGAACAGTAATGGTTTATGACGTCAGAAATAGAAAATTCCATCGCTTTTTTAAAAACATTTGAATTTAAAAATGAACTGTAATATTCTAATTTTTTTAATTCCCAGATGGGAATTGAGATGAATGCCGTTTATGAATATCTAAACATTTCCGAAGGAATTTCTTGAGTAAGCTGTTTCTTGAAAAAGACAAAAATTCAACTAGTAAAATAATTTTGTGTCAAAACACAGAGCATCACGATTGATTAATTCTAGGAGTGCTTCGTATAATTTTTTTCTATTGAAACACTCCTCTGAGTTCAGAGAACCCAATTCAAACCATTTTTCATGGTTGACAGTCTATTAAGAACAGAAACTCAGTAGATGCCTTTGACAGGCTGGCTGATTGAATATGCTTCATTTCGCAAGACAATAAGGCTACCACAACATCATCAGCACTGGCGAATCCAGGGGGAGGGCATGGGGGCCATGCTCCCCCCCCTCCAAAGGCCTAGAGTTTTCGTTTACCTTCCTGTATTTGGCAAAATTGATTTAAATATTTATGTTCGAATTATGTGATTATTTAAACATTAATATTGTATGGTATCATACCTACAGTGATATAAAATATAATAACAAATATGTTTATTATTAATAAAATATCTACGATGTCCCCGCCCGAAATCGACTGATCCTCCTCTGATCATCAGAACTTTATTTTCCTTTACGACTCTTTAACAAATTTGATAAATTTTCATAAAAATCTATAAAAAAACTATTTCTGGCGTACGGTAGAGAAGTATAATCTGCGAATGTCTTCTTGACCTCTAAAGCAAGTGACTTGTGATGATGCGAAATGATATTTTCTATTGCAACTGCCCTTGTAACGAGTATCATCAGTTTCAGAATTCAGAATTTGGCATTTTTCATTTGAAATCCATAAAACTTTTAATTTATATTATCTTCATGCTATCTTAAAAATGTAAATCACACATTGTGTAACATTTATTTAAATAATATAATCAAAATTAATATTTTGTTTGAATTAGTCTGTTATTGAAATTATCCAATCTGGAATTGGCCGCATTTTTATATTCGATATTGACTGAAAAGATGGCACTGTAAAGCAAAAATTGTGCAGTTGTTAACTGTTTTATGTTTGAGAAGGTCAAGATTTAAAAAGACAGAGGACAATCTGTAGAATTGTGACAATCAGTACAAAGAAATCAGATCATGGAAATCCCGTGAACAAATTATTATTTCAAACAGAAAGATAGAGGCAGGTGGCCAGGCTGTGAAGAAAGTAATAGACTGATTTATCCTCGATATAAATAAGCAAGGTTCAAGAGTCACTTTCTGGAAAATCGGGAAATGTCAGAAAATCTCAATTTATCTAGATTGTTATGGAAGTAATCAGATATTTTTTGGAAGAATCTTAATACGTCACTAATACGTTCGAGACAATTATAAAATTTAATATCTTATGTTAAATAACATTGACATGTTCATTCTGGTACAACTTTTATTTGAAAAGCAAATATTGTTAGTATTGTCTTT